ATTGCAAGTAGATGTGGCCATTTCCCAGTTCCGGGCCGCTTGGAGAGCCCTGAACTGACCGGTTCGATTGAAAATAATAACAAATAATTAAAAAATATTTAGTTTTTTGGGTTTGACAGTTCAAAAACTACAAATATGTGGCCTATAACTAGCCTTATCAAACAATGAGCTTGTTTCAAGGCCCGATGACTAGGGGCCAGTTTTGGGCCGGCCTGTGGCTATGTCTAATTGCAAGTGAACTTTGAGTAGGTTTCACTAACTCACGAAGAGAATCTCCGACTTGGAATCTCAAGGCGGCGGCCCAGAGAACGTACATTTCGGCCTCGTTGGCGGCCGGTTGCCGCCAGCCGTCCTTCCCGCCGACCACAAACTCCTCGGCCATGGAGCTTCCTATGAAAAATGCGAACAAAGTGAGAGCAGAAAAGAAGGAGCTCACCATGAATTTAGCCATTTTTTGGGGTTTAGGTTTTGATAAATTATTTTTTGCAGTTTATAGTGTCAGTAACAAAAGGGGGTTAGGACAAATCAGTGGATGTGGGATGTTAAAAAAGGGGTGGTTATTTGCAAAATTTGAGGTAACCTGCAATAGACGTGGTGAAATAGAGCATGGCGGTTATTGGTAGTTAACTAGTTATTGGTCGTGGTAAAAATAATCCAGAGTTTGACTTGGTCAAAGCCCATATGCTTAGGGGTTTATGGATTGGGATTTCAGTTCGGCCCAATATGATGATAATCCACTCTCTTATAAGAATTAGTAATCTTATTAACAGCCTAATGATTAGTCACTCTTATTTTTTCAATGACTGAATAATTCTTAAATTGAAAGATCGTACTTTTAAAAGTAATATAAATAATATTACGATATTTTATTACAACATAAGTATGCACATAAGCACATTCACTGAAAAATATAAGTATACAAATAAACCCAAACTAGATCTAGTTAACGATTAGACCTACTCATACAAAAGTTTGTGTTATTCATATTGTTAATGAACTTAAATAGAAATACAACATCTCTTAACATGAAATAAATCATAACTCTCTTTCATTAATGTTTTTCAACCGGACCAACTTGACCTGTCGACCCATAACCCAATCGACCTAGAGTGGTGTCCCAATCATCGTAATTTTCTTTTAAATATTTTTTTTTTTATTTTAAAAATAAAAGCTATGCATATGTATGCCTATATATTTATATGGTAAAAATATTTATTATCTGATACAATATTATTACACTTTGATGTATAAAATTTATATGAAAAATATTTAAGTTTGTTATTTTAATGTATATTTATATAATAAAAATACTATATATATAATTTAAAATTTTGAAATCAATAATTCTGTTCAGCAATTAACCCGATGACCCAAAGTCTGCACGTCAATTCAAAAACTATGTTTTTCATAGGAAAAGCAAATATCACTTAAATAAATAAAAAAATACTATTCATAAACTACAATCAAACTATCACGTGACCTGCTTGAAATCAACAACTACTTTGGTGAGAAGCTTTGTAAAACAAACAACAAAAAACATATCTAAACCACAAATACACTAGCAATAACCGAGCTCGAAATCGTCCCTCTCTCGATGCCCTTTGTTGTTCGAGGTGATATGTCAACCGTGCTCGGCGCCAAATTTGATCAGTTAAATTGCAAACCCATCGCTCCTTATCTCCTCTGCTTTAGAGCTGATTTTCAGATTTGCGATTTTTTTTTTCTTTCTTTCTGGTGAAGAAGTGTTCAGAAGGAGAAAAGTTTCAGAGATATTGTTTTCTTTTCAAGACTTCAAAGCAAAAAAACCAATGTAATAAATTAATAATCCTTGATGATAAAAGAGCTCCANAAAACTCGGTTAATATTACCTTAACTGAACAGGCTTATACATTTAACTCGACAGGTGCTTTCTCATTGTGGGCCATCATATTTTGCAGCTCTAACAATTTTTCTGATCTGATATCGACTATGCTACGTGGCGGAGGTTGAAGGGACCCATGCAGCTCGACTAAGTTGAAGAATTCTTCTTTCGTTAAAGTTTTCTTCTCCGCAAGCTCACGAGCAATAGCATCCAAGAGATCCATGTTATCCTGAATTATCTACACAAAAAATTTTCGAACAAAAATATCGTATCTTTTCAATATCTTTTCAATGAATTAATATTGTGAAAGGAATGTATATATATATATATATTTTTTTTTTGTAATGTACCGATTTTGAACGTTCATAGCACGAGTGCAGGATCTTCAGCGCCTCTATATCAATATGCTGAAAAATTAAATATTTACAACTCAGACATTAGCCAGGTAGAAGTGCATGTTATTGCTTGATAAAATAGAAATAAACAACTGTAAGAAATTTCAAGTAAGGAGTTCAGTGTAAAAACCAAAATCGAAACGAAACGAAGAAAAATAAAGTTGGTTGTTTTCACGATTCCATCTAACATTTTGTCCATAAAAGTCAATTTTATGCTGCTCATGCCTTTTCTAATGCGAAATAAAACACAAATTTTATGTTGTTTCTTTCCTTTTTCATTTTCTTGGAAGAAATAAAAGCATAAAAGTTGTAAACTAGCAAAATTTCAGCTAGTTATACTCTCAACGTGGAAAAAAAAAAGAAAAACAAACACAAATTCCAACAGTAAACTTCTAAAAGGAAACTTTACTTCTATCTTTTCTGTAGTCCAGAAATTGTTCAATCCATAATGCTCCTCAGAAAGGCCACCGAGAACTAAAGCCCTCGCAGCTGATCTGGCACCATTTGAAGGGGCTGACGATATTGTACTCAACTGAAAATTACAAAGCATAGTAAAAATATCAGAAGGTAAAAGATTAATTAACTTCATGAATGACTAAATAATGGAAAATAGAAATAAAGCATTATGTGGTGTATAGAATTATATATCTTTATCTTGTGAGAACTTTACGATAACAGAAGACCTAGAAACAGAATGTTACTAATGAATATAAAGGGAAAATTATCAGGAACCGTACGAAGTTTTGCTTTTCTGTAGTCTATTAAAAAACTGCCATTTTTCTCAAATTTTAATGCGAAGAATAAAAACAAAGGACTTTTATTACCCGATTTTTCCCGTTGATGAGTTCATCAGCTGCACGTGGAGCGAGTAGGACGGTTATGTGATCCAAGACAGACTGCCGGCTATAATAATAATAATAATAATAATAACAATAATAATAAGAACAATAATAATGAGGAGGAGGAGAAGAAGAAGAAAAGAACCTTACCTTAACATGCCAGTGTCGAATTTCAAGTTATCGAATTTCATTCGTGCATAACCAAAGTCATTTCTAGCTCTTGGTGCTAGCGTCACCTGAATAGAATAATACAGATGAGATAAAGATTGAAGACAAAAAAAGGTTGCACAATTGCTATTGACCATTATTAGCTTATAGATTGGATTTGTTCACGGACTTAAGTGCTGGCTCCTAAAAAAGGAACAAACACTTTGTGGCTTAATAATAATACATTGCCTCTGACATTTATGGCTTCAATCTTAATTTGCTTCACTTTTAATGGAAGGGGGAAAATGACATGTCACAAAAGCAAAGGTGGCCGATAAAACTATTAATTTAAACCTAAACTAGCGCCTTATATTATCCTAATATGCTTCCAGTCTTGCTCATTTCTATCATTCTTCACAATTTCAATTAAGTATTTATTCAATGAGCCCTTCGATTACAACAGCTTTCATAAGAAAAGACCCTTTTCCCAAGGAAAGCCAATCTTGGAATGTTTTGAATCTCACAAATATAATTGCAGCAAGAAAATTACGCATAAAAAGAAAATTGTAAATGCATGACTGCAATAAGAAATAACTGAAACTCGGTTGTTTTGAACGCACAAACTCAATATTTCTGAGTTCCGGGAAGTTGACGGCAGCCACTAATATAGCTGCTTCATTTGTAGCTATTTGCCTCCACATATTTGGGCTTCTCTCTTTTCTTTCTAGCGGCCCATTTTCTTCCATTTCTGCAGCTTGTAACAAGTCGTCAGTGGTAATCTGTTCATATGCACAAAAGAAAACTCATTTCATACATCTTTGTGGCAGTATATAAGCAGTAATTTGGTGCGAATACTCGATAGAAGGCTGGTATTTTTTTGAGGTTGGGAGAAAAGCAAATATCTTCTATTCCCATCAATTCACTCGCTTAGGGTGTGATTGGTTATAAACTCATAACAACTAACCATACCACCTTTCTCAAAATTAACTATGGTTAAATAAAAAAAAAAACAACCAAATCCATATCCAATCACACCCTTAGCAAATGACTTCTTTCAGTCTAACGCTAATAAAATGCAAAAGATAAACCAAACGCATTTTATTTATTTATTTTTTTCAATCTTTCAAAACTGGCGCATACCTCTTTACGCCCATCACGCATCATGTTGATTGCAGCAACCTCAATCACGTTCGCCAGCTCAGCACCAACCATCCCATTTGTCGAAGCAGAAACAACCATGTAATCAACGTCCGGGGCCATTGGTTTATTCCGAGCATGAACCTAAATTAAGAAATATATAAACTGGAAAATGATAGACATGATGAGCATTATTAGGTTTGCATATCGAAGAAAATTAATACCTTGAGAATTTCGATACGGCCTATCAGCCCAGGCCTAGGAATCCATATTTTCCGGTCAAACCTCCCGGGCCTCACAAGTGCTGGATCCAAAATGTCGGGCCTATTTGTGGAGGCAATAGTGATGACTTCACCTTTGCCTTCAAACCCATCTAAGCACACAAGAAGCTGCGGAGGAGTAGTCATTGTATGATGCATTAGTAATATGGACCAATGACTATATAATATGTATCCATCAATTGAAAATGTACGCAAAAAAAATTGCAATTTCTCCAAGAGACCTGATTTAGAGTAGCATCACGTTCTTTGCCACCCGATCCCTTAATCAGACCACGTTCTCTTCCTACAGCATCCAGTTCATCAATGAAAACAACAGATGGAGCCTGTGCAGAGTCGCATGAAATTTTTAATTTAGTTTGTTCGAAAATATGAAATCATGTTTATCTTTCCTACTGTGTATGTTGTTACTGGGTATGTTGTTGTTGTTGTTGTTGTTTGTTTATCTTTCCTACGTTGTTCACTTGAAATACTCGTACTTATAGTTATCGATATTTCTTAACCAGCACAGATTCATGCCTTNAAGGAGACACCACTTCAAATTTTAGACATCCCACTCCATGCTTATCATTCATTACCTATGGCTTTCTCACTTAAATATTCACATTGGTCAACACTTTAAAAATTATAATGTCTAAGTAACATAAAAATGAACTTGGTCAAATTTTCCATACAAAATATCCTCCTCAATTTACAAAAAATAAACCACCATAAACAGTGGAGGCAGAGTTCAACATCATCACACAACAATGATCCACTTCTAATAATGTAAAGAGGGTATCTAAAACCACCATAAACAAATAGATGAAGTAAAAAAACTCACATTTTGTTTTGCTTCCTCGTAAAGTGATCGAACACGAGCAGCACCGACTCCAACATACATCTCAACAAACTGAGATGCGGAAATGGAGAAGAAATTTACACCTGCCTCACCAGCCACCGCTTTTGCTAACAAAGTCTTCCCCACGCCAGGGGGCCCAGATAGAAGTATACCTCCTGATGTGTTTCAAGAATACGTTAGGCGAAGCAAAAAGAATACATAAAAGAAAATAAAATGGAAAGCTGCAATGTTAAAACACTAAGTTCTTCAAGTGTGTGTGTGTGTTCACTGCACTCCTATTACAAAGTGTGTGAGAAAAAAAATTTACAGTGTTATATAAATCGACAGAATATTAGTACCACCAAGACCCAGAAGACCATTCACATAAGCATAAAAGAACATCTTCAAAAGATGTGCATGCAAAAAACTGATCTGGTGGTGTGGATTGAGTTAAATCACTTGATTGACAATACTGTAAAATTAAGATCTAATATTATAAAAATTAACTCACCGGCGTTTCAACTTGGCATGACCTAATCTGTAATTCTGTATCATATTCTAAACAGGACAAAACAACAGTGGCATATCAAATTTATTTATGAACCGAACATAGAAATGGCCATGTTGATATTGATTGTTCTCAGATATCCTCAAGTGTTGATATTGATTGTTCTCAGATATCCTCAAGCAACAACCATCACAAGAATAAACATTCCACCAATAAGAATTTAATTAGAGAATTAATCAATGTTCTAGACTCAAAACCAACAAAAAATGGAATAGCAGTTCAACAGGTCCCAATTCACATACAGAAAATTGTAAAAGCACAAATGTAATTCAAATAAAATAATGTCAATTTTTTTTCCCAAATCGAAAGTAAAATCTGACCAGGTATTTTCACCCCCCGCCTCCGGTATATATCCCCATGAGTGAAGAATTTCACAACCTCCTCGAGCTCGATCCTGATTTTTCCGAGCCCGGCCACATCAGTGAACTTCACATCCACATCTTTTTCCAAATACTGTGGGAGCTTCTTGGTCTTAGCTCCACGGACGCGGGCCCCAGACATAGTGAACTTCTTCGCCATCATCACGTAAGGATTTCCTTCCCCTTTTGCCCCTTCCTCTCTATCACCCTTAATTCCGGTCACTCCCTTTTCCAGCTCCTTCGTTTTCTTTCTCTCCTCAGCCTCCGCTTGCTCTATCTTCAACCTGTCCTCGTAATCCTTCTTCTGCTTTTTGTATTTAAGAACCACCGTCTGGTAAAATAAGTAGAAAAAAAACAAACCAAGGCCTGACGTGACAAATCCATTTTTAGCCAACTCTTCCCACATTTTGGACTGCATAATCGAGGTTCTCTGCGCCTGGCGAAGGGATCTTTGGTAGTTTAATTGCTTAAGTTCCATTCTTCTCTGCTTCTCCTCCAGCTTCTTCTGCATTTTCATCTCCATTTCTACCAACTCCCTTTCTTCTTTCATCCTTTCCAGCTCGTCACTCCTCCTCTTTTTTATCTGCTCTCTCATTCTCTGTAACTCTAGTGCCTTTTTCGACTGAGGCGGCCCCATGACCAACGAGAAAATCGACTTGGCGAATTTGTTCAAGAATCCAAGGTAAGGATTTGGCATATCAGGACGCTTTACGGACGGACTGTAAGCATTCATGCAGAGGCCATCGATTTTCAACTCGTCCCATTCTTCCCAGAAAGCCGGATCACTCTCGAACGAGGGCAAAACTGCCCGGAAAACCCTGTCATCATCAAAAACCACCAGAACGACTGCCCCCCGCCACTTTAATTTGCCATCCGAGGATTTCACAATGTGTTTCAGCTTATTTTCTCTCATCAAATCCAATATTTCAGTATAATGGAGCCTGTGGGACACCAAAGGAAGCCCCTCCCACCATTTCTGCAGCTCGTAAGGGGTTATGACCCCGGTTTTTTTCCCTGACTGCCTTTTCTTGGACACTTTGGGTGCAGCTGAAGAGGGCTTGGGGAGAGAGGATGAGACTGCGGTTAGTGTCACTGAGAGCTTGAGCAAATCTAGTGGGGCCCGCTTGAGCTTCGACTCTTCTTCCACTGAAGCGTTTTCTGGGTTTGCAGAAAGGCTGCACGAAATGGGGAAAATGGATTTGGGACGAGGCCGCCTAAGTAGGACTATGGGCGGAGATGGAGAACGGATAAGGCAATTACAGGCCATGGAATTTGTTGAATTAATTGCATAAGGGAGATTAATTGAAACGAAGAAAAAGGATAAGCACAATGTAAAGGATAAGGGCAGAAAGGTTTTATCTTTTAAGCGATTCTGAGCTGGTGAGAGGAGACGGCTGTGCGTCGCCGGAGGTGCGAGGCGCGGCGGAGACGGTCGCTGTTGCCCGGCGATGACGAACCAACTCAAGAAGATGTCATCTGTGAGAACTTTGATGTTTGAAGTTCGGTTGGATTTTGTTTTTCGTTTCTCTTACACAATTCATTCACCTACGATTTTCTTTTCTTTTAATTACAACTAGTACAATACCCGTGTATTACACGGTGTTGAATTAGAAATCTTTTGTAAGAAATATTAAATTTTTTAATTTTTTCTAAAAAGTAAAATAATTTAATTTTATATAAAATATTACTTTGAGTTTTAATTAAATTATCAAATTATATTTTTTTAATCATATTAATTAAACACACATACATTAAATAAAAATGTCAACCCGTATTGAATTTTTTTTTACTTATATCATATAAAAATATCGATATTATTAACTATTACATAAGTAAAAAAAATATATATCTTAAATAAATAGAAATAATATGGTGATGTGTATATGCATAAGTGTAGAATACGTTTATTTAATATTAAGCAAAATAGATTATCTTTTTTTTACTTAATCAAATGAACATGTCAACCCGTGTTGAATTTTTTTACTTCTATCATATAAAAATATTGATATTATTTACTATTACATAAGTTCAAAAATATATATCTTAAATAAATAAAAATAATATGGTGATATGTATATGCATAAGTGTAGAATATGTTTATTTAATATTAAACAAAATAGATTAATTTTTTACTTAATTAGATGAAAAAATATGAACAAAATATCTAAAACGACATTAATTTTATCAATGATCTATTAAACCAAAGTGAGAAATAATAAAAATATGAGGGAGTATATATTATTATATATTTTAGTATGACACATGTTACTTGTGCGACTTATATGTGTTATATTATAATAAATTTTCTACCTTATAACATATAACTACATTAAACATAAATATATAAATTGATAATATTTTCAATCTCTAATTAATTTCAATAGATATTTTTTTTTATTATTATAAAGATAAATGTAATTTATTTATTTTATATATACAATATAGATGTCAAATCGAAACTCATCAAAAGCTGATTAATTTGATATATTATATATGTAAAACTGATAAGAAATACAGAAGTTATTAACTTTTAAAATATATTATTAATTCAATGGTTATAATAGAAAACGATATTAAAATACAATATCAATATAAATATTAATTTATATCCAAGCCTAATTCCAAAGCATGATTTTTTGCCAAATAGGATTCTGAAGCATGAGAGTTTGCCAGGCTCAGCGCATTCTGAAATTATATATAGAGGAGATTATACAAATTTTAACTGTTTATACAAAACTGATTGGTGATTTAATTTGGAATTTGGATTCTAAATTACATATTTTTGTTTATAAATCATTTATATAATTTATATGTGATTTTATTTTTAATGTCGTATTTTTGTAATTTTTTTCTCATACAACATAGTAAACATATAAAAGAGCCATAAATAAAAAATAAAAAAACGAAATTAATGCCAATATCCTCTTGTTTTTATGTCGTTTGGCACCTAGGTGATCGTGTGAACTGCATAGGCGAATAATTAATTGTAAAGGTTAGTAAAAATGAGAAATATAAATAAATTACATATAAGTTGTATATCTCAAAGTTTTAATTTTATTATCTAATATTATTTATTATAAATATATGCCTATAAACATATATTAATATTTCCCATTATAAAAGTTAAGCACATTTTTTTTTTATAAAAAAAAAAAGAGTAGGCTTGTCTGGTTGATGCTTGGGTCAATTGGGTCACCCGAGTTAGTCAGGTTAACGACTCGTTCGACTGAAAAATGGTCCGAGTGTTCGAACCAGCTAAGATCCTACTCTGGGTTGATTCAGATTACCGCTGTAGCAATTCAGGCGAAGATCCTACTAGATTCATTAAATAATAGTTGTTATATGTAAAAATAATTTCAATATAAATTTTTGACATATTCCATAAAAATTGTCATATAATAATAGTTACTTATGAAATTATTTACCTAAAAACACAAATTCTTCCACAACGCGACCTAACTATCTGATGGGTCGACCTGCTACACTTTAATAACAAATACACATATCTATAAATGAAATGTCAAACTATTTTTTTATTGTTTTTTTTAGAGTATGACATTTCAATTTGAAAATATGGTCATATGTTAAAAAAATATAGTCTCATAACCATTAGACCTGTCATTGACGGATCTCCTACGGGCCCTTGTAGAATTTTTAGTAGCATATTATATATATGTTATATGTATATATGTATTATTATATTGACATAAAAAAATACATGTTATTAATTATTATGCAAAACTATTTCATTATAAAAAAATAAATAAGAAATATTTTGAATTATTCAATCTTCAATATGTTAATTTTTAAGGTGCGGGATTTATACTTATGCTATACTTTTCTTGTTTATTTTCTTTTCCTCTTAAAATACATAAATGTATATATATACTATATATGTAATGGATCAAATGTATCTTATTCTTAAAATGAGAATGTGAGATTCAACCTTAGTTATTAAATAGTAAACAAAGTGTATGGTCAATATTTAATCTTTTTACTTTTTTAATTGGTTAACCCTGCGTTGAACGTTGATCATAGGTGTTGACCATAGTTTGTGCCTCCGTTGTCCTTAAAGTCTGTGTCCGCCTCTGAGATGAGATCTGTCTAATAGTAGTCTAACCGATTTGAAATATCACTGTAAAGTAACATGTGTGTATATATTATCTATTATGTTATGTCATTCATATGAGTTCGTATTTGCATTTAATCAAGGTCATGATTTCTCAATTACATTGGCAACTATGCAATGTCGACTGAATCATACATATTACTGCAGACAAACATGATAGATCAAAATAGATATGTTTGGCTCATAAACAACATTAGGACACTAATCCAAATAGTCCCCAAGTCTTTTTTATTTTTTATTTTCCTCAAAGGTAACTAAAAGTTCTCTTAGTTGCTTAATACATGGACAGCCAAATTACATCAAGAACCACAGATATTGCCAGCAAGAAGCAGCTGAAGAAGGCAAAGGCTATAGAGACAGCCACACGGTCACAAAAAACGCGTAACGGCTTGCAAAAATTCGGAAGAGCCGAATGATGAATGCCCGTTCGGTTCAGGTTCGTGACGCCTGATGCAGCTGATCCGGCACTCATCATTGCATATCCAAATATCTGTAGTAATTAATGTTGTAACCAGTAGTGTCTCAAGCAATGACAATGAAAAAAAGAACGAAATTTACGAAAGGCTAAATTGCAATTTTAGTCCTATCAAATTATGGAGGTAGCAATTTAGGTCTTTTACTGGAGTGACATATAGCAATGTAAGTCCTTTAATTTAATTTTCTATTGCAATTTCAGTCATTTTGACAGTTAAAATGATTGACAATTTCAACTTACAAGACTTAATTAACTGGAAAATTTGACGACCAAATGACTGAAATTGCAGTAAATTTTTAAACTAAATGACTTGAAATGCTATATGTACATTTTCATAATCTAAGGACCAAATTTACAATTTAGCCTTTATGAAATAATGATAATCTATAATTCTGCAGCTTTAATGCAAGGTTAATTGGAGGAGAAAGAAAGAAAACACTTAGTATATCAAGAACGTTTATTTCAAATTCACTACATAATCAAGGTGAAGATTGATACATTTGCATGTATTTTGGCTAAATGAAATGAATTATTGCCACAATAATGTTACCTGATCTGCAACAAAAATAAGCCATGCGTGATTTCTAGAAGTGATAATCGGAGACTTTCGCAAAATTTTGGACATGTTGATTATCAATTGAATCAACGAATGAACTGTCACGACTGCCGAGACTCCTACGAGATACCTGAAATCGACACAAGTTTAAGTCACTCTACAATTTTATTTTATTTTTCCAATTAACTTATCATGCATTTTCTGATATATGTTCAGCCAAAATATTCAAAATTAAAGTTCATTTATTTCACTCTGTTTTTCATTGATAGGTAAAGTACATGTCTTGTTTTTTTTCTCCACAGAGATTTTGTTTTTTATTTCACTCTGTATGTGATTTTGTCCAAATAAAAACAAACAAACAAAAAAGGAAAAAGATTAAAAGAAAAAAGAAAGAAGCATTTAGTCACGGGTGCTTGTTTTTATTCACTCTGAGTCTGATACCATCCAACAAGGATTATTATCACCATTTTCAAAAACTCTGTTTATGTTAGAAACTCAGAAAGAAAATATATCTTTCAAATTCAAATGTAAAAATTAAGACCATAT